ATTCTCTGCTCTCTTATAAAATATGAAGGGTAAGTAAGTGGGGTGGCTTTTGGCCTTTTTGTCTGGATGATGGCGGTGAACCTTCCACTGCTGCTTAGTGCTTAATTATAAGCAGCAATGGAGACAAGAAAGTCGAAAAAGGAGGGAGATTTTTAGGGGGCGGCCTGGATTTCACGCGTGCCCTAATTCTAGCTAAGCCTTCTCGAATCTCACGTTTTCCGCATTCACCCTCTCCATACACATAATAAACACATCTTTCTCGTTTCTCTCTGTCTCAAATCTCACATATATATATATATACTCATCTCATATATATATATATGTATGTATGAAAAAGTTTGTGTAGGGTGTAGATGGACAATTGCAAAAGACAGCCAAACAGGACAGCATGGCACTTTTACCAATCTCCCCTTTCAAATGTTTGATTTTAATTTTGAGTCTGGTTTGGTCTCATCTCATCTTATCTCAGTCAAATGTACTTCCTAGTAATTATGCATATTCATCGAGAAGCATGCGTTCCATTAGCTGCTGGCCTTTCAGCCTTTCAGCCTAGCTACATGATATCATATGATAATCAATCAAGCTTCAATCATCTTAAAATTCATCTAAACAAAACAAAAGACATGTTCCTCCAAGTAATTCTGCTTCCAAACAGGGACATGTTCAAGATGATGGGTAGGATGGGTTGGCATTAACCCAGCAAACCCTAGTGCGCTTGTACCATATCATATATCATATATGTTTCATACCACATTCATACCACCTCTCTAATAGAGGTGGGCCCCATTATATTGGTGGGCTCCACCTCTATTAGAGAGGTGGTATGAATGTGGTATGAAAAATGTGATAAGCCTAGCATTACCCTTTCTCTAATTAGGTTTAATTAGTTTAGTTCAAATTAATTAATTAGTTAAAGCTCCTAGGAGTTAGCCAGACCACATTCACAGACAGCAGTCAGCTAACTATTGTGCCAAGTGCAAACAGACAAATATGTTGCTCGTGAACACAAACACATCCTCGGGAATTGTCGAAAGTGCGCAACACAACGTGGCACTGCGCTACTGCTCTTCTCTTGACTACCCAATTACCAGATTTACTATTCAAATTCTTGAGAGACCAAACCAAACCATGCATGCTCCAATACTTTTCTTGGGATTTTGTCACACACACTAAATGACTATAATAAATCAAATGGATCGAGACCATTTTCATAGTCACAAGCAAGCGTTCACAACATTTAATATGTTAGGAGAGATGTCGATTTCGAATTCCACTTTTTCACGATAATACAATGACATGAATTGATGTTGTTTCCAATTTCAGATCTAGGAAGGATGCTATATGCAAAGTCTCAATACCAAACCATGCACTAAACTAAAATATATCAAGACCCTTTTCTTCGTTTTGAAGGTATGTTTCAAGTTACTAGCAAGTATATTAACATACATACTACTATATTATAAGAGATCTCAATTTCAAATTTCACTTCTTCTTGATAATACGATAACATACACTGATGTTATTTCCAATTCCAGATCTAAGAAGGAAACTGCGTGCAAAGTTTCATGACATGGCTATGCATTCAACCATATATGATATATTCCCTATGTAGGGACAAACCCAAAACAACAAAATATCACCTAGACTTTTGATCACTCCCAGAATTGTGTACCTACAAGCAAATGATAAGTGTGTTTTAAAATTTGTTGTATAAATACTTGAAGCTAAGGATGAAGCAACCAAGTGACTGGAAAAAGGGGCATGTAGTTGCTTACGACAGGAGGCACATGACATAAGAAAATCCAATTTGTCTCCCTCTTTTGGCTGGTCTTGCGTTGTCCCTCTCCCATATTTCAATTTGGTGGCTTTATTGTCGCTTTGTTTATGTTCCCACACACCCTTAAAAGGAGATTTAACCCCACAATATTTGACTGAGCTGTACTTAGTCTTAGGGTCAACCTAACTCGGTATCTTTGTCAGTCTGTTGCGATCACAACCGTCCAATTTGGATCAGACAATGTGAAATTTTGACTTTCACTTGCATCGATCTTTCTTTTGCAAAATTACCCAATTAAGATAATCCATCAAATTGCACTCTTCTATATGATCTTTAGCAACACACCAACATAATTTAAAATGATGCTTGGCTTTACTCACGTGTCCTGGTGGTCTTGGACGTACTAAATTAGTCTACTATTCTAGAGCATGAGAATTACATAACTAAACATCTTATCTTAGAATATGCATATATATGAAAATTCTGCAATAAGTATTTTATGTTAAAGACTGGTTGTATATTTCTATTGTCGACCGTTGGATTGCATGTATGTTGCATATTAAATCTACCAACACATCTAATGAATGCAATCCAACAGCCGAAATTAGAAATATATAACCATTCTCCTTACCTTAAATACTTACGGAAGAATCTCCCTCCATGTATATTTTACTGCAAAGCACAAAAACCCTATAGAAAATTTTATATATGCATATGAACTCAAGGAAATAAAAAAAAAATGCTGTTAGAGAGTTTCAATTACAATTTTATGCATTATTAGAGCATCTCCAAGGGAGATGTCAAATACCAAACATAAAATTTAAATTTGATGGTTGATGTGGCAATTTGACATCTTACACAGCTTTACACTCCACCCAATATGTCAAATTAAATTATTATTTTATTACATTTTAGTGTTGATTTATTTTTAATTAAAAAGAATAGAAAAGAAAAAATAATAAAATATTCATTTGACATCTTGCTTTTGGGATGTCAAAATAACATCTCAATCTTCAGCCTTCATTCCACATCAGCTTTGACACATTGGTTGGAGTGTGTGAGATGTTATTTCTAGCTGTTAAATGTCTATGTGGTACTTTTGACATATTGGTTGGAAATGCTCTCAGTGAAAACTTACATCTTGTTTGCTCGGCGACCAATGTTGAACAGTGGCAGCTTTCGCGCATGTCTCTCTATTTATATCTCTCAGCACAAAAAACCGGGAAAAGATAATTGAAACGAACAAATCCACATAATTCAATCTCAAATTCCCTAAAAACAACGCAGATTAATATATAAACAAAGGGCTGATTTCAATAAAACAAAAACCTACTCCGCAAATAAAAAATGTGACACGAAAGATTAATAAAACCGAAGTATCCACTTTATGGTATTATATATGCACACGGGTTCACACTGTTTTTAGTTCAGAAGCTCAGAAAGGAAGTTCTGAGGCAGCAGAGACTTGTTTCGTTTCTAGGCATTTGAAGCTGAAAAATCAAGTATGGATGAGGGCATGTCAGGGTTTTGCATTAAAGCTGCAAGTTTTCGTGGCAGTGGTGGTGGTGGCGGCAATGGCAATAATGGAACCAAGTGCGGGCGTTGGAATCCAACAACCGAACAGGTTAAAGTTCTAACTGACCTGTTCAGGTCTGGACTCCGAACGCCCAGCACTGATCAGATTCAGAAAATCTCTTCTCAGCTAAGCTTTTATGGAAAGATCGAGAGCAAGAACGTTTTCTATTGGTTTCAGAATCACAAAGCCAGAGAAAGACAGAAACGCCGCAAAGTTTCCATCGATGACAAGGATTTCACTCGTCGAGATCAAGACAAGATTTCTTCTCCAAAACGTACGTTATTAATGGCTGTTAAAAGATATTTTCTCTTTTGAAGTAACTTTTTATTATCTCTCAGATCACTTTCTCAAGAAACAAAGAGAACCTTTTCTTTTTTCTGCTCTTTTAAATATTTGATTTTCTGGTCGTCTTTGCAGAACTAAATCAAGTTTCGGGGCCGGCGAGAGTGATTGAGACCCTTCAACTTTTCCCAGTAAACTCCTTCGACGAATCTGAAGCGGAGAAGATGAGATTTCATGCAAACGAATACTGCAAAGAGGCTACAGCTTTTGCTTACAGGGTTGGGACAGAAATGGACCATCCACCATTGGATCTGCGCTTAAGCTTCCTTTAAATTACATGCTTCAAATGTTATAAGAAAAAGAAAAAACTTCTAGCTAGCCAGCTACATAGTGTAGAACCATGGCTGTCATTTGTAGAATTTAGGGTTTAGCTGGTGGCAGGAAGAAGGGTGAACAGAAAGGGAGGATGTGGGGGGAGATAGCTAGGAGTGGAAAGCTTTGTAGCTGAAAATTTGACGTAGTAGTGAAATTAATTTTAAAGTTGGTTTAAAATATTGGAAATTCTTGGACATTCTCCTCTGCATGTGCTCAGAAAACTTTGTTGTTATTAATTTCTCTGTGATTTACTCTGTTGGGTTCTTGTTTTCCACATGAATGCTTGGAAATTGGAATTTTTGCTTCCTCACATGAGAAGTGTCTCCTTGGGCTGCATAAATTGTCCATGCTATACTTACACTTGGCCTTGGGTCTGCTTCCAGCTTTGAATTTCATGTCCTAATCTACTTCCCCACAGCCCTCATTTATCCTTTTACAAAGTAAAACTCATCCACTACTCTCCCATCCCTTTATATTATGCTACTACCAAAACTATTATTAAGTCATTTCATTTTGAGATTCTAAACCTGGCCCTTCATAGTGTTGTAAAGTGATTCTTCTTGAAAGGGCATCTAGAATCTCAGGGATACAAATGGAGAAGTGCATGAGGACCTTATAGAGATTGTGGAAGGGTCATACAAGTTTTCCCTCTCACACTCGTCTTCACGTGCGACTCATATAATGGAATAATTGTGATAGGAGATGGGTATATGCTTTGCCTGTTGAATTAGAGAGGGAGAAATCGAACACTAATTTTGAAGTGTATTAGTCGCTGCTCGTAACCACTTAAGCTAAAAGCTTATTGCTTCAACATGTTAAGCCAAGCTCAAGCCAGTTAAGCGGGCCCAAAGGTAATTTAGCTGTACCAAATAAGGCCCATTAACATTGAGGCCGTTTTTTCATAACTTGGGCTTTGATATGCCCAACTAAGAATCCCGAAACGAACAAAGCTTTTCATAATATAATAATGTATTGTTCGGTGAAAGGCGAGAGGAAAGCGAAACTGAGGAAGAGCAGCAAAGCAAGCAGGTTGAGTTGGAACACGCCAGCTGAGGTTTCCTGGAGAAGAAGCTAACTCAAAATTCAAGCAAAAAAAGAAAAAGTTCAGTTCAAGAAGAAGAAATTAGGAAATGGATGTGATAAAAACGCAGCAAATCTCAGCGAGGCCGATCGAGAAGGTGATAGTTCACCCTCTGGTTTTGCTCAGCATCGTCGACAACTACAACAGGGTCGCCAAGGACACTCGCAAGCGCGTCGTCGGAGTTCTGCTTGGCTCCTCTTTCAAGGGCACCGTTGACGTCACCAACAGCTATGCCGGTTCGTATATTTCTCTCCGTCTTTTAGTCCATCTGCTTCTCTTTCGGTTCCTCAGCTCTGTTTGGATCTCATTCCTTTTTTACTTTTGAAATATGTTTATTTTATCTGGAGATGAATTTTTCCTATTTTGATCTGATTATGGTGGTTTCGATTTTGAATTTTGCTCCAATTGTGGTGGATAATTCATTGGTTCTATAGAAAATTTTGTCTTTAGGTTATGACATTGTGAAAAATATGGTGTATTTTTCTTAATTATTCAAAAAAATAAGTGTGCTGTTGCTGCTATGAGCTTAAACTTGGAATTGGCTTAACAAAGTTAAGTTACATTTTGAATTGTATGCTGCTATATGAATTCCTACTTGTGTCAAATTTCAAATTTGCGATGTAGAAAAGTTAAAGTGATAACAACTGGTTGTGGCATTCTAGACATGCTATTTGATCAGGCATTTATAATTTTAACTCAAGAGGTACTGAGGTTGTTGTTGCCTAAATATGCAAATTTTGTGCTTTTATTTTCTTTCCAAATGTATAGACCTGCGCAATTTGAAAGTGTATTAGTTTATTTACGGTACGGTGCACTTTCTATGTTAATTTCCTGTTGCATTGTAGGTGCTCTAGTTGTTAGTATCTACCACTGGTATTCATGTATTATTTTAAGTTTCTTGTTTATTGGTTTTCCAACGGAAAGTTAGGCAGTATCAGCCTCGAATTCCATGATTGTATCCTTAAATTTGACGAATTAGTTAGATTTTGTGTTTGTCAGGTTTTTGTTATACTAAAATATTTTCTTATTTGGCCTTTTCTATGTTCTTGATTAAAAAACCTTTATGTTTCCAGATCAAGTGCATTACATTTTACACCAATAATATTTGATCTCTATTCACAGTGCCCTTTGAAGAAGATGACAGGGACCCTAGTATTTGGTTTCTTGATCACAACTACCATGAGGCCATGTATGCCATGGCGAAGAGAATAAATGGTATTAGTCGAGAAAATTCTCTTATTATCACATATGTACATTGTCGGTTATGATGAAAAATTGACAAATAACTTTTTCCAGCAAAGGAGCATGTTGTGGGATGGTACAGTACGGGTCCCAAATTGCGAGAAAATGACTTGGACATTCACGCTTTATTTAATGAGTAAGTCGACCAACCCAATGCAAACCAGCGTTCCTTGTACTTGTGATTGCATAGGAATACCATGAATGTTTCTAACATCTAGTTTGATTAACAAAATCATGTGGAGGGATAACATTGAAATAATTTGAGTATTCTAAGGTTGACATTGTTCAAATTGAGATTAGAGAAACCGTATTAAGTTTTTAACCAACTAAAAGGAGCAGAAGTGTACCTCTTTCTTTCTTCTCTCAGATATGAACTGTGTTATACCATTTTGCTGATCTAACTTGAAGATATAGAAAAACAAGAACTAAGATGTCTGGGAATTTGGAAACCTTGTGGTTGCTTGTCAGTTTTCTACAAAATAGTGATGGTTGGTTATAAGGAAGCACTGTACCTTTAAGAGATATTCTTCTGCAGTGGTACAATATGCTGCCTTTATGCCCCCCTTTTTGGTTTTCTAACATGGGGAAGCCTGCAGCCAACATGAATCTCTGTTTCCTTTCTTTGTTCTTTAAGTTCTCATTAATATTTCTTCCTTTCTCCATTCTGTTTGATTTTGCAGCTATGTCCCAAATCCTGTCTTGGTCATAATTGATGTCCAACCAAAGGAGCTGGGTATACCCACAAAAGCTTACTGTACTGTTGAAGAGGTTAAAGAGGTAGAATCACCATTTTTTTAATTAAAAAAAGCTCCATTTTCTATTGTTCTTGTGTACTATTAGAAATGAAGCTTATGGTTAGTGTTACTTTTAACTTGAAATCCAGTTTCATGCAAATTTGAATTAACATTTTAGTTTGATTACAGAATGCTACCCAGAAAAGCCAGAAGGTGTTCGTTCATGTGCCTTCTGAAATTGCTGCCCATGAAGTTGAGGAAATTGGTATGCCGATGGGATGAATAACCGGTGCTCCCTTTTTTTTAGCATTGAATCAAAAGAACTCCCAACTTATTGCATGCAGACATCAATTTCTTTCTATCTTTTGTGGTTTGGTGAATGAGTATCTAGTTTTAGTTTTGAGTTACCATGTTACCCTTTAATAGGAGTGGAACACTTGCTTAGAGATGTGAAGGATACAACCATCAGCACTCTCGCAACAGAGGTTTGGTTTTTACTTCTTATTCACACACAGACACATGACAAGTCTAACATGAATACAACAAACTTAGTTTCCAAGTCTTGTACAGGTTACAGGGAAACTCACAGCCTTGAAGGGATTGGAAGCAAGACTTCGAGAGATTCGGGGTTATCTTGACCTTGTTATTGATGGAAAGCTCCCTTTAAACCACGAGATTTTGTACCATCTACAGGTTTGGTTTTGGCATAACCTATATATAGTATAAGCTAGAATCGTAATGTCTCTGTCTTTTATGAGTTTTTGAGTTCTTTCTAATTTTTGCCTAGTCTTAATATTTTCACCATACCACCTGTACGTTTTCTTATTTCTCTATTCAAAATCCTTGTAGGATGTGTTCAATCTACTTCCAAATCTTAATGTTTCCGAGTTGATCAAGGCTTTTTCAGGTAAATAAACCTACTGTGTTTTTTCTGCCTCTGTAGATATTTTATCGTTTAAGCTGCTTTACGGTTAGATTTTTGATCCGTGCTCAAGTGCCTATTCTGCTAAAATGTTGAATCATGTCCTTGTTGTCATGTGCAGTGAAAACAAATGATATGATGTTGGTTATCTATCTTTCTTCTCTCATCCGAAGTGTTATTGCTCTTCACAACTTGATTAACAACAAGGTGAGATGCATTTCCTTGAATGTGTAATTCTAATATTAGGATTCCTCGCCTTAGCAATTATTCCTTCGCTGTTTGAGGGTGAATGAGAAAACAAAAGGAGCATGAAAAGGCCACTATTCATTCTTGTTCTGTCCATTATGGTTGTAGCTTTTCCGCTGTTTCAGTGAGCCTGGCTTGTCAAGCAATGTGCATGGTGCTATAATATTGTCACAAATATTTGGATCTTCCTTGATTTTCTTTACAAACTTCACATAACGTTTTCTGATTTGACAATTTCGGAATATTTCAGATGCACAATAAGGAGCATGAAAAGGCAGAAGACTTGAAACAAGTTGCTGTACCAGCTGCAGCCGGAAGCTAAGAAGTATCTATATACGGCTTGGAGCTTTGAGGGGCGTCATCTGTCGACTAAGATAACTAAAATGCGTACTCTCACTTCGTTCCAGCCTCAATGAATTTCAAGTTGGAATTGGAGGGATGCATAGGACATGGCCGATTTAATAATTACCCCTAATTTTTTGCCATGTCCCAGATGGTGCTCAGTTTCTTTTGAACATATAATTTACGGGTTGTCAAGTGATGATGGACATAATCATTTTGTACTCTAAAACTTGGGTTGCTTTGCTTCCCATCTTACTCTGTAGACCCATTTCATCGGTTTTATTAACCTTATGACTCATTTATGCGATGTTACAATTCTACCATTCTTGATTGCGTAAACCAAAAACAAATTCCCTTGCCTAAGAACTTTATTAGTATAATTGTGTAATAAAAATATCTAGAAAGAGTTATAACATCTCATACATATGTTTCTACAGTAATCCAAGTACAATATTACAAAAATTCACCGGTGAGCTCAATCTTGTTCCTCAGGCTGAACTGATTGTTGAAACTCAGCATCCATGATCACTCCATCCATGATATGCACAACGCTTCCTTTCTTCCTCAGATCCACTCTTTTGGATCGAACCCTGTTGACCGTTAACGCTCCATCTTCCTCTTTCGAGATATACAACACAAACCCAGATATCGAATCATACGACAGCTCCTTGTCAATCGGCACATTGACTGAAGCAAGCCTCCGAGGCACAGCTGAGAAGCCCAATACTCGAGACATTATTGCATACGTGTCGTCATTCGTCTTCTCCCCCACCAAACTTTCATTTGAGCTGAGCCTCAGATCGCGCTCGAAAGCTTCCTCTGAAGGAACAAACACAGTGAAGGCAAGATCTTCAGGCAACATTTCAAGCATCATCTTCCCAAACTTCCCTATCGATAAATTGTCATCCTCTGAAGTTTGTTTACTGGTTTTTGTAGTGGGATATTGCAACCCAAGCGGGATCTCTGGAAGCCTCAGCATTGAGATTGTAACAATTAAAAGGCAACAAACCAACACAACCCACCAAACGAACGCAATCGGATTTCTCAGAATCCGGCTTCTGCTCATCGTCTTTGACGATCCCGAGTCGCAGGCGAGCTTTCAGGCGCACGGGATCTTCCCACGTGGCTCTTCTGCTGGCTTTGGATTTCGACTGCTGAGGTCCCAACTCTAGGAGCTTCACACTGGCGTGTTCAAGCACCCAGCCAGCCAGTTGAGAGAGCCTATGATTTGGGATACGTAAAAGAGTTTCTTGCACTGCTGCATCGAGGTTGGAACGACGTCGTATGGTTTCTGGACTCATTGAAGAGGCTAAGATGAGTGCGGCCCAAAAAGTGGCCTCTCAAGGTGGACAATATTATTTCTGTAGGCAAGGAATCGGGCTTATCTCAATTCATAATGTTTGTGAAAAGCCGAAATGAACATTATCTTTTGCCTTTGTGTTTGTGGTGCATATTCCAATATTAAACACATAATTTTGTTGGAATTTTTAAAAGCTCTATATACTTGTTACATCTCCAGAAAAATTTCAAGCCGAAAAATGATTAAGTTCCTCAACTTTTTAAAATTTTTTATAATCTCATTTCTATCTTTAAAAATCTTAGGACACTCGAACATGAGAAGGATATGGGTTAAGACACGCTTGTTCAGCCTCATAAATCCTTGTAGGTTTCCTTACCATATGATAAGATAGGTCCATTTTGATTTTGACATCGTAGGTCTCTTGTTTGGCTTTTCGCACTTAGATATTTCAAGCATAAATTTGAGAATTTTCGAGTTTCAAGTATGAAGTTAGCATTTTTTTTAGTCCGAGTATGAACTAGGCATTTTTTAGGGTTTCATGTAAAATTTTGTGGTTTTGATGTTAGATTTAGCTTTTTTTTTGGGTCATTTTTGGGGTTTCATGTATGATTTAGCTTTTTATAATTAAGGGTTTCAAGTATGAGTCAAGATTAGGAGACACACATTATAACACACATTTTAGAGTATTAGATTAAAGCACATTTAATGATTGAGATTGCATATATATACACAAACTCTACAAAAATGCTCATTCATAAAGAAAATGACAAGATTTATACTCGATACAGCAAAATGTTATATGAAACCTTAAAAAAATACTAAATTCATACATGATGCCCCAACAAGCCAAAATCTGTACTCAAAGCACTAAAAATGCTAAATTCATACATGAAATCCCCAAATGCCAAAATCTATAATTAAAACCTAAATATTCTAAAATCTACACACTAAATCATGACAAAAGCTAAAGTTGATACGCTAAGCACCGAGAATTCCAAAATCTACCATCGAAACCCCAAATTGATCAAATCTAGACACGAACCCGAAAAAGTACTAAACAAAGACACAAAACTCCAAAAATACCAAAATCTTACTTGAAACCGAAAAATGCTACATGAACCCATAAAAAATGACAAAATCTATACACAAAAGCCCCGTAAATGCTAATGTATACACGAAACAAAACCAGGTGATAAGACTAATTAATTTTGTTAGAGCGTTGGCCCCACAAAATCAGAACAAAAGAAAATAGAGCTCTCAGCAAAAAACAAGAAAACAAAACAAATAGAGTTGAAAAAACAAAAGTCAATAACATTATAATTCATATCTAAACCACACACACATTAGTAAAAGAAACAAAATGTCACAAATACACAGATCAACATCCCCCCATCCATTGGCCTCTAAACCAAATCACCCCCGTTCAACCCAAGGACCCATACAATCCAACGGTCAACAGCAGAGTGCAGATCAAAATAGAGTCCTTGATCAACCGCACCCGACCATTTCCCCTTCATCCACAGCCCTTTTTCTTTTCTTTTTATATAGAAAATATGACATCATCCACAGTCTCAGCTCGACACGTATTGCATGAACTCAGAGTCCGTTTCTAGCAGAGCCATAGTGTCAGGTGCCAAAACCACCTCAAGATCAACGCTCCCAGCACCTTCCCTCCCCGGAAACGCCGATATCTTTCCGTCAAATTTATTCGCCCTCCCGCTCCGAATTGCCAACGGTCTCCCCCACCCGAAATCGTTGTCGTACATCGGAAATCTCGGCGAGCTCCCCATCGTCATCGTCGCACCGTCGAAGTTGCCAAGCGGAAACACCCGCGGGTCCCTCTCCCAATCCTCTACCACACCTCGCACCTTCTCGTTGTCGTGCGCCTTCACGTTCTTGTTCAGCTGCTCCGCGCACCACCGTGTGTCGTTCGACAGCACCTCTCCCGCCGTCGCGTACGTCGGGATGCTCTGGATTGCGTTCCCGAAGTAGTACGCGTCCAGCTTGGGCTCCAGCCTGTGACGGCAATTCACCGCCATTCTGAACGTCGTCGTTTTCGAGGACGGCAACTTCCTTGCACGCGTCACGGATCGCCACAGGAGCGCGCAGAGCGACTGAAACGACGAAATTTCGGGTGTCGTTTTGGCGTTGGAGTTCTTGAACCAGTTTTCGATAATTGACGTCACTCTGGCGCCGTTTGAGTTAATCTCGTAGGGGTCGTTGCTCTGCTTCCCGAGAATCTCAACGGCGCTGATTAAAGCGTCGTCGTTTTGGAATTCGGCCCATTTCTTACTGTTGGTTCGGGATTTGAGGTTTTGAATCGCTTCTCTGCTGAAGCTGAAAATTCGCTCTCGCAAAGGCTCAGTGAGGGAGAAGGTGACTTTGGGACCTCCTTCCGGGAACCGGAGCACGGCAGGCGATATGATAACGGAGCTCCGGCTGAAGTCGGGCTGCTTCGCGATCGTCAGTTTCTTGTTCTCATTAGGTGGTGATGATGACGACAGTCTGCAGAGCTCCGCGAAGGTGTTGAAGAAGTTCCAGAAGGAGGTGCCGTCGGTGATGGCGTGATTGAGAGCGCAGCCGATGAAAACAGCGTCACTGAGCTCGGTGACCTGGACGGCCAGGATTGAGTTGTGGTGGCCGGTGTAGCTGACGGTGCGGTCGAAGGGGAACAAGTCCTTGACGCAATTGGGGACGTCAGTGGGGCCCAAAATGTCTCGGGTGGAGAGACTGGGGGCAGAGGCGTGGATGAAGTCGACGCCCGCGTCGTTGCAGGTGATGTGAACGTGACCGTCGGAGTAAGTGGTCAAGCGGCCGGCCAAGGGAGGGAAACGAGAGAGGCTTTGGGAGAGAGAGGCTTTGAGGAGGGGGATGAGAGAGTGTTGGATGGGGAAAGGAGGAAGAGGGAAGAGGAGGCCCTTCTGGATGTAGTGGCAGGAGAGCATGGGGAGGTCGGAGACGGAGAGCTTGAGGTCACCGAGTGTGGAGGGCTGGTCGGGGAAGACGGTGGACTTGGCCACCACTTGAGTTTGAGTTAGAGACGTTGGCGAGTTTGAAGAAGGCATTTTGATTGAATGATGGGCGCCAAATGTCTAATGGGTGTGGAGGAGGGCTGGAAATGTGAGCAAGCACTGAGGAGGAGGAGTGAGGAAGGTGTGAGCGTTGGGAGTGGTATTTATAGGGGGTGGTTGTGGATTTGGATGCATGAATGTGCTGACGGGGGCTGGTTTGTTTCTTAATTTAGTAATTTATTGCTGATTTGGTTGTCATCGTTTATTTAATTTCTTTAATTCTCTTTCTTTTTTTTATTAACGTTTCATGAAGAATATGCGGATGGATGGATCGTGGGTTTGTATCTGATGATACATTCTCTCTCTCTCTCTCTCTCTCTCTGCATATAATTTCCTAATCATGATTCATAATCATCATCAGCATCACAAATCGTAGCTCCGATTGGAAACCACGTGTTAGATTTCCTGGCTAGTTTCTGACATGCGAACTGATGAAATTACAACGATTGTAGTTTTATTAGTGGAAAACTAAAACTAATTAAAAGGCTAGGGTTTTTTTTTAAAAGTAAATACATGATGAAAATTTACATTAAAGCCAATGAGCTGAGCTTAGCCTGCAGATATTTCGGATGGTTCTCAAAAGTCCTTCTTTATTAGAGATAATATGAAGTCTAAGCACCACCATGCCAACTAAAAAATATTGAACGAGTTGACTGTCGACAAGTTAAGCTACAAATTAATTATTAATAATTAGAGTTATTTATACTAACATCCTCTGAGGTTTTCGGTTTCTTCACAAAACTTCTTGAGGTTTTTGAAATTACACGAACACCCCTTGAGATTTTAAATTGTTTTCACGAAACTCATTTTCATTGATTTTATTATCCAAAGATTGATAATTTTATACAAAGAAATTATCCAAATAACAAAGTTGGCATTTGAGATTATATTGCATATACTTCATTGAGGTTAATTTTGTCATTTGCATAAGGTTTTTTTTCAATGAAATCACCAATTTTTAGACAAACAATCAACGAAAAGGAGTTTTGTGAAAACAAACTGAAACCTTAAGAAGTGTTTGTTTAATTTTTGAGACTTGAGGGAGTTTTGTGAAAACATAAGAAATCTCAAAGCGTGTCAATGTAAATAACTCTAATAAGAATCTGTAGCGATGCATATTGGATTTCAGAGATTTTACTCACTCCAACAAGAATCTGTGAGATTTTCTCTCATATATTCAGAATGTGTGGAGATGAGATTTTCTAGTTGAAATCTTCACAGGTAGCAGCAGACCCTCCAGCAATATCCAATGGAGTCCGCCTTGAATTACACAATTCCCATACATAACAAGATACTCATGCCTCCCCCCACGCATCCAATTAAACACATTTATACTACTCGCACTCCTTTCCATCAATATACTGCGGATTTTTCACTCAAATCAAATCATGACCATAAATAATATTTACACACGTGCAAAATTATCTTTTCCTTTTTAATTTTATTAATTAAATTATTCGTATGTGTCGGACTGTGATTAATATGACTCTTACTTATAAAGAGCCAAGGAATATTCATATATATAATTATAATTGAGTGAAAATAAGGGAGAAAAAGAAGAAGAAGTGAAAATAACAATTTTAGCCATCGAGGGTTGGTTGAGTTGATAAGGATCGTTCTCTTCGCTATCCAGGGCTAGGTTCGACTTCCGCAGCCAACAATTACTCTTGATGGATAATATGTAAAAATAAAAAGAAGGGTCTGTAAGTCCTCAAAAAGGCCTTGGTATGCCATGACCCTGGGATGAGGTAGCCTCCCCTCCCCTTAAACTTTTTATCATTTTAAAAATAAAAAAACAATTTGGTTTTTCTTTTTTTTTATCCCTCGAAGGCTTTGATCTCTATCTGATTGCATCCAAATAGAGACAGTTGTTTTTGTTTCTTCGTACCAAGTTGTCAACTAGCTAGCTAGGTTAGGGTGATTGATGTTTAATTTACTATATATTATTTTCTTATTATTTCGCTAGGACCCTATGGTAATATATCTATCTTCTAATTAATATTGCCACAAAGTTTGCTTAAACAGCACTCACTTGCCAGTTAACATACTGTGAGATAAACTTCGTGAAGATTCCACGATAATCATTTTTTTTTCTCATGCAAAAACTTAATTAAGTAATTAATTATCCATATAATTAAGAATAGCGCCGACTATTTACATTCTGTAGGTTGGCTGTCATTCTTCCGATCCCTAGAAAGGTCGGCCCCCAAAGAATCCCAACTGTTTGGTCAGCTAACCTTGAACTGTCCTCTGCAAAATTAATTAAGCTTTATTTGCCATATTATTATTAATTATGTTGTCATAAGTACATTTATTTTTATTTATATAGCATATGTGTGAGATTACCTGATAAAAATATGGTCGGTTAATTAAGTAATATGCAAGATTCTTCTAAACTAAAACCGTAAATTCTGATTTGTCGGCGTGTGCCAGGTTTTAATTGCTAATTGCTATTTAAATGCTAATTAAGCATAATTAATTGTTTGACTTAGACGGTCCATTGCCCATTTATATGATTACCTTGAGAAAAATATAGTATAAATGCAGTACCAAAAATAAAAATATAATATTGGACAGCCCGTGGTGTCTAAATACTAAGACCCATTTTCTTATTTGGGTTTTAATTGTTGGGATCCATGAAGTATTGGCTGCAGCCTCCGTTGATATCTGCCACGTGTATGACAGACAGATCAAGAATGCCAATCACCAAGTGTACGTTGCAAGTGAACCTTGACTTCTGCCAGTTAGAACCCAGCTGCCACGCGAGCAAGTTGTTCAATGGCAAATTGGCCATACTTGTGCGTTTCACCCGAAACCACCATCATCGGGTGCCACGGTCCTTTGAATCTGAGACATTTTGATTTCAGTTTTGCTTCTTCTGGAATAAAAGTAAACAGTACAAATTTATTCCCATATTAGGTAAGGTTTAATTACTGTTGAAATTTAAATGTTCTAACTTAATTCTTAGAATATCTAGAACTGAAACTTCTTCACTTTACAACTTCCGTTCATTTTCGTCACTTAACCCCCATCGCATCACACCTCCATTGCACCCCACCTCCTCCCCTTCTCTTTCCTCTCTCTTATCTAGGGCCGGCCCTTGGCCAGGGCAACTAGGGCCACCGCCCGGGGCCCACGATTGAGAAGGGCACACAAAAAATTTATATTAGCTTATATATATGTATATGATCAGACAAAAAAAAAAATATGTATATGCAAAACAAAATTATAAGTGCTCATAAAAAAATAAAATAACTAAAACTAATGGGTATGGCTACATTATATTGCCCCTATGCTCAACTGGTGTACATATTACCTTATTTCCATTTTCAACATTTAAGTAAATGTCTTTGTCCTTTTACTTTCATTTATTTTTATATTACTCCAGTTACTTAAGTTTATAATGTAAATAAGGAAGTACCCCCCATTTGGATTCAAATAAAAATACTAGAAAATCAAATTCCCAACAAATAAAAATATGAAAAATTGGTTTTAGTGCAAAATATGATTTATGCTAAAAATGATGGCTCATTAAGTCAATATATACTTCATACTAAAATCCCATAAAATCAAGTTTTCTTATTTGATGTGTAAGGAATAAAAGCCGCCAAAAATTATCTTGAGAAAATGATTATTCCGAAAAACCATTTTTCATACTTAGTCAATATTGCACCTCAGCTAAAAAAAATTATGGGTCTGCCAATGGTGGCAGGTGTTGAGGTCCAAAAAATCCAAGGCTAGGCCCAAATATAATCTCAGCCCGATGCTATACCTTATCGAGAAGAAACCCGATTTGGGCACGCGAAAGTTCGTCATATGCGCTTGCACACATGCCATGCCAAGCAAATAAGCAACACGCCACGCTACAAGCATAAGTGGGCCCAAGCCACGCGAATGCCTGG